TCAGTTTTTATTTAATATTGTGAAAATTATTCATAAATAATGCTTTTTTCACTCAAAAAATGAGGTGCCTACTCTCAGATAAATGAGGCCAACGATTAATCAGAAGCAAATATAAATACAAAACCAGTCCTAAATGAAAGATAAGAAGTTGACAAAAAGATTGAATCCAATATTTGGTGATAATATAGCATAATCAGTGATTTATAAGCAATTTTTTGAGGCCGGGTCCTTTTTGACCGGGAACACCACAAGTGTGACTTTGTGCCATTTTGTACAAAATAAAAGCCTTTCAAAACAAACTCCCTGATTAAACATTAAAGTACACTAGTGTGATAAACAGAGCAAATTTTCTTCAGTTTTTATTTAATATTGTGAAAATTATTCATAAATAATGCTTTTTTCACTCAAAAAATGAGGTGCCTACTTTCAGATAAATGAGGCCTACGATTAAATAGAAGCAAATATAAATACAAAACCAGTCCTAAATGAAAGATAAGAAGTTGACAAAAAGATTGAATCTAATATTTGGTGATAATATAGCATAATGAGTGATGTATAAGCATTTTATAAATGCTCCCCCAGAAAAGTATGAAAATGATCCAAATTTTTTTTTAGAAGTAGTTATACCCTTTGTGAACAAAGTCACAAAATTTCAGTCCAATGCGATAACATTAACTAGTTGATGTTGTTGAGATCTCTAATCTAAACTTTTGAGGAGACAAATGTGAGAGATCCATAGTCTCTAACTAAGGATAAAAATCTGAGCACAGTATTTTATGTTGTTGAGATCTCTTCTAAAGCTTTAAAGGAGACAAACGTGAGAGATCCAGAGTCTCTAGCTAAGGAGAAATATATGAGGACAGTGTGTGATTTTGTTGAGATCACTTCTAAAGCTTTAAAGGAGACAAACGTGAGAGATCCAGAGTCTCTAGCTAAGGAGAAATATATGAGGACAGTGTGTGATTTTGTTGAGATCACTTCTAAAGCTTTAAAGGAGACAAACGTGAGAGATCCAGAGTCTCTAGCTAAGGAGAAATATATGAGGACAGTGTGTGATTTTGTTGAGATCACTTCTAAAGCTTTAAAGGAGACAAACGTGAGAGATCCAGAGTCTCTAGCTAAGGAGAAATATATGAGGACAGTGTGTGATTTTGTTGAGATCACTTCTAAAGCTTTAAAGGAGACAAACGTGAGAGATCCAGAGTCTCTAGCTAAGGAGAAATATATGAGGACAGTGTGTGATTTTGTTGAGATCACTTCTAAAGCTTTAAAGGAGACAAATGTGAGAGATCCAATGTCTGTAGCTAAGGAGAAAAATCTGAGCACACTGTGTGATGCTGTTGAGATCTTGTTTGAAACTTTGGAGGAGACAAATGTGAGACCACCAGAGTCTTTAGACTAGGAGAAATGGCTGAGCACAGTGTGTGATGTTGTTGAGATCTATTCTAAAGCTTTAAAGGAGACCATTGTGAGAGTGTTAGAGTTTTTGTCTCAGGAGACAAGTTTGAAAAGGAGACTCAAGCAAAAATCTCAATTCCTAACCTCATTTCTGTCTAGGAGAAATATTTTAGATGTTAAAGAGATTTCACTTTTGATTTTTCTTTCCTATGGGAAAATGTGAGATTTAAAATCATAAGTATTATTTAATAGTGATATTACCACAGTACTTTAGAGTATAACACGGTACTGTAATGGTACATGTAGAAAAAGCATGATATTAACATGGTACCATTCCCAAAACAATTATCCTTCTTTTGGTAGTGTAATAACATGCATTTATATCACAAATCCACTTCAGAGAAATAAAAAATAAATAAATAAATAAATAAAACATCCGCTGACATTACTCAAAAATGCCACAGACATTATTCACAATTTCTCCCCAAACAGCAATAACCCCTCCTCTGACTCTATCCACTAATTCACTGCCACTCTCTCTCTCACACTCTCTGCCAAAGGAAGTCCCTTGTGGCAAGAGCCAGTAAAGAAAAAGCACTCAGTGGAAGAGAAAGAAGTAACATTCCTTGGATGAGAGAGTAGGATTCCTTGGCTCTGAAGCAGGGCTGGATTGGCAATCGGGCATACCGGGCATTTTCCCGGTGGGCTGACGCATTTAAGGGGCCGACAGAAAGTTTTTTTGTCGAAAACCATCACGCAGGGACAGCGAGCAGCTAGTGGCCCATTGGTTTGTCTCCTGTATTGACAGCGTAAACATCCAATCACAATGCGCTATAGACGGAGCGATTAAGTATTTTGCTCCGCCTATATAAAGATCGCATCACCCCAACTTCTTCCTCGTCGGCATTTCGCACGTTTTCACAGGAGATTTATACTCAGGGAACCATGGTTACATAAGTAACCTGAGACGATATATATATCGAAGTGGTGATGGGCCGCCCGGACCAAAAAATGCCAGGGCTGATTTTTTTGTCCCAGTCCAGCCCTGCTCTGAAGGAAGGGTTATTCTGCCAGACTCCTCTAACAAAACATTTAACCTTGATGAGTTTTTTTTTTTTTTTTTTCTTTGTGACTCTTTAATTAGCGTTTATGTGTACTAAATTTGAAAGATATTACCCAAAACAAAGCCAGAAAAGTAATTGTTTGCATTGAGTATTGAGTATAGTTGAGTATAATTGAGTATAGTTGATTATAGCATAGCAAATTAATCTTACATTTAGGTAAAATGTTCCATCCTTGACTGAAACTTTTTTTATCTCCAGGAAATGCAAAAGAAATTATTTAGCAAAATGACCAGTCTGTTTGTTTCCATACAAGAAAAGTACACAAGAAAGACAAAAAATTACCTTAAATGTAGTCCATATGAATAATGTACCATTTTCTTCTAAAGTCATGCAATATTTGACGAAAATAACAAACCTTGCCAATCATACAGGTTTTTAATCCAATGAGGGTGAGTAAATGATGACAGCATGTTCATTTTTGGATGAACTATCCCTCTTAAGCATGCCAGCTAATACACTTAAAATGCACTTTAAAGACAATCTTACAAATATATTGTACACCACATTTAGTATATACAAATAAAATTACAAATAAAATATCAGGTCATGTAAAGACTATCGATATGGTGAACACACTGCCCGAATAAAGTGCAGGGGACGAATTTACATTTTATTAAAATTAAATATTTATTAAATATTAAAAATGCAGCTAACGTAGTTCTACACACAGCAATATAATCAAAAGTGCCTGTTCTCTTTCATTCTTGCTGATTGATTGGGAAAAGTTTAAAGGGCGTCAATGGGTCTTGTCTTTTTTATGTTATCTGACTAAAAACTATTCATACTTTAAACTATTATTATTACAGTACTTATTTTAAAAACGTAGAGTGCCTTAAAAATAATTATCACAACACTGGTAAAACAGGCTTATAGTGATTTTCTCATCCTCCAAATTATACTTATCAATCCTGTTTTATTATCATTATCATTAAAAAATGAATAAATTCAGAACATAATTAGAATATATTTCTATTTTAAATAAGACAGAAATATTTTTTTTCTACAACAGCAAAAGTAGTGTTTACAACAGCAAAGCCACCATACCCTGTAAACTCAATAATAATAATAATAATAATAATAATAATAATAATAATAATAATAATAATAATAATAATAATAATAATAATAATAATAATAATAATAATAATAATAATAATAATAATAATAATAATAATAATAATATAATGCAGTTTCTAATTCTAGAGGAATTAAGAGGTGCAAACAAAAAATTCTTTAACTTTTAAACTTAAAATGGTCTTTTCTGTTCTGTGATTCTTTTTCAAAACTGTGTCACGGCATTTGCTGCTATCAATACAGAACACGTATCAGCAAGAGCACAGCACTATTTAAAGCCGTGTTCCATGTACCCCTTTTATACTTTGAGCACCTGCCCCTCCAAAGATCTCTGTACGGCCCTGTACAGAAGTGAGAACTGACCTGTGAGTCATTTGAGGCTATGGAACGTTCTGTAGGTGGCAGGCTGGAGGGAGGGATGCCAGGAGCAGGTCTTTGGGTGGCAAAGGCAGGAGCTGGGTGCACAAGGGGTGGACTGTGTCCAAATGCAGAACCTACGATGCCCGGTTGCCGACTGATCAGCTGCTGATGCATTTGCAGTGCCACAGGTGTCGGAGGATATGCAAAACTCAATGCAGGGCTGTAAGACAAAATAAACAGAAAAAAAATCATTTTAAAATTAAATTAATAAATTAAGTTCATGTTACAAATTAGTGAAATTTGGTCATGTGGTAAATTATAAACAAATAAATATTTGTTATTGAATTCAATTAATTAATTATTTAATATTATGTATAATGCAGTACAGTTCAAACGTTTGTGGTCAATAAGATTTTTAACGATTTTGAAAGAAGTCTCTTATGCTCACCAAGGCTGCATTTATTTGTTAAAAAATGCAGTAAAAACAGTAATACTGCAAAATATTATTACAATTTAAAACACCTGTTTTCTATTTTAATCTATTTTAAAAAGTAACAATATAAAGCTGAATTTTCAGTAGCCATTATTCCACACTTTCACATTCACGTGTCACATGATCCTTCAGAAATCATTCTAATATGAGTTAATTCTAAAAATATTAACAATCCAATTATTTTAATAATAATAACCATTTTATTAGTAGAAGTCCAAAAATTACACATATAATGTATTAAACTGATAATCCTAATAAACAATAAAAAAAATAAAAAATAAACTTTTAAGTTCCAAGGTAGTTCATGTAAGATGAATCAACTGACGAGCATAAAAGCTGTATTTAAGCACACTATTGAACTTTTATATATCAACTCCTCTTCTATAGGTGCCACAGTCTTTTGATCATAAAGCTCTGATGCTCAATAATAGACATTCATAGGGGGTTACATTCATCGTGGGGCATGCTGACCACTCCATACGAGCTCATACGTCTACTGGCCTTATTACAGGCAGAGAGGAAATCAATGTAGCTAGACGCTGCATGGCTGACGTGGCTGTCTCATCACTCATCAGGCCTGGACCCTTGCCTGCCACCTCTGTCCACACATGTTCACACGTGATAGGACTGATTAGCTTGCAAAAACAAATCACTGATTAATCACTCTCAGTTGAGGAAAGAGGTCCATTTCTGCTGTCTTTTCTCTCTCCGAGACCCCCACCCAAACCAGGTAATGTCATTTCCTAATAGTGCTGGACGGCAGACGTCAAACTGAGTGACACATCGCCAGGGACGCTAGCTGTGTTTTCACTGTAGATCCACCCTTCAGTTTGATATAGAAGTTACAAGACTGTTCAAATGTAACAACTTATGATTTTCGGACATGCTGCACTGTCTGTGATAATCTCCATTTTAACATTTCATATTGTACTTATGGTACATTACACTTTTGATCATGTCTTAATACAGCATATGTTAAAACAAAATAAATCAATTCCAATTTGTGTTAATTTGTTGATTTTTTTTTAAGTCTGAGGAAATAACATTTCAGAAAGTGTGTCTCATTTCACATACGCCATCATTCAAAGGTTTGGGGTCAGTAGATTTTGTATTGAAAGAAACATTTATTCAGCAAGAATGCATTAAATTGATCAAAAGTCAGATTTACATTTCAAATAAATGCTGTTCTTTTTAATTTTCCATTTATCAAATAATCAAGAAAAATTTGCACAGAAATATTAAGCAATTATCAAATAATAAATTTTTCTTGAGCATCAAATCAGCATTTTAGCTTTGCCATAATAGGAATATATATATTTTTAATCTATTTAAAATAGATACAAATATAAAAATTATTTTAAATATTTCACATTATTACTTTTTTACTGTATTTTTGATCAAATAAATATAAATACATTCAAAAATCTTACAGACCCCAAACGTTTTAACAGTAGTGTATGTCTACAAGTTTGTAGTGCACAAATCACAATATGGCAGTCTTGTGACTGGGAAAAATTTAGAAGGAATTTTAGGAGCAAATTAAATGAGCATTGATAAAGCTTCAATCCATTTGGTTGATCAGTATCTGAATATTGATTAGCCTCCATAAGTAAGTCTCACCCATATAAGTGGGATCACTTAAAAAAACATTAATTATTTAGCCTTTGAAACAGATAAACGTGTGATTAGAAGGCAGTACGGTCAGCGAACACCCTCAGGTTGAAGGGTTCATGAATTACACCTCAGAGAAAGTGAGTGAGTCAGTTTTATTCACTTCATCCACAACAGATTCTCTCTCTTTCCTATCACAGCTTGTGTTACTGTCCTCAGACTTTGCTTTCTTCCTCCGTCCCCCTCTTCATGACCCTTTCATTCGTCATTCCCCCTTCCTCTCCTCCTTTCCATTGTGAGCGATTGCATGGCGGCAGTGTTAGAGTAAAGCTCTTCTCAGCTGATGGAGAGAACATTAATCAGGTGATGCATATCAGACAGACAAGTGAGAGGGAGGAGGGGAGGAATATGTTCACATGCTTCCTCCTAATAGCGTTCTCTGTGTTCCCTCGTTTATTTCGCCGTCCAATGTTCATTCATCACTCCGCTTCTGAGGATGCGCTGGAGTGTCCACTTTCAGCACGGATTGCTTTTCCTCTCTATCTCTTTCTCAGAATCTCTCCTGCATTCTCTTGCCTCTTGTCTGTTCCAATACACACCACTAAATTCCCTTGATATATGAACAAAAATATATTTTTAATTAAAATAATGTAGCTTAAAATAATGTAAATCCAGCTTCAAGGCCTATCAGAAAGAAGTATATATATTTTTGTAAAAAATAAAATAAAATAAATCAAATCTTAATTCATTGTTGTGTATACCTGATAGTACCAGCTGAGAGGTGTCCATAGGATCCACTGGTGGATGAGCTGGAGCGGGAATTATTAAGTATAGTGACAAGAGAATTGGGCGAGGTGCGAATCATGGCCTGCAGGTCAAAACTGCGATCAGACAGGGAAGGGGAGCTGGGAAGGGGTCGTTTTCTGCTGGGCCGATTTGTGAGCCTAGGACTTGGAAATCGTGAAGCTGAGAAGACACAGACAGGGAGAGAAAACAGAGAAAGAACATAGTATGTTATGTATTTAAAACTGGTGGTATAATAACAGGTACAAAAATCAATAAAAATCATCATTTTTATTTACTTTTATATTTTACTTTTTTTATTTTTTTTATTTTAAATAAAATGTATTTGTTTTTATTTAATTTAAATTAATTTAATAATTTAATTTAATAGTTTATTTTTTAAAAGAGCTATCGGTAAAAAGAGCTAGCTTTTACTATCGGTAGAGAGAGAAGTGGAGCGCACAACAGTCGAACAATGACATCATTTGCATAAAAGTTCCCATTCTCTTGCGGTTCATATATTGTTTTTTAGATTTTACCACACAGAAAGCTTTACTGACCAAGAATCATCTTGTTAATTACAAGCAATTTCTTCATCATAGTCTGTTGCATTAAACAACAACCACATTTTCTGCATTGAATGCATTTTGTACACACTGTAAAAACACATAACTGCAGCTCAACTTTTCTCACTGCTTTCTGGTAGCGTCATTGCGATATTGAATCACGTTTAATTGGGTTGAATAGTGCGTTAATGCTGAATGGAATTTCACTGGGTTGTTTTTGTAAAGCTTTCACTAGAAAGCAGATTGAACGCAGACAGGCCTTCCACTCACGCACAATGACTGGCACCTACAGATTAAGAAATGACTTTTGTTGTCTTTTCATTCGCGAATGTCACAAACAAGAAAGAAGGGAGAAATGGAGGGAGAAGTGAAAGGAGGAGGGGAAGAGAGGGGTGCGTGGGGATGGTGGTCTTTTGTTGTGTGGAGTGACACAATGACTTTGTGACTCATTTTTTCTTTCAGTTGTTCTTTACATTTTTTAAGAGAAAGCACACAAACAAAACAAGATTATGCTCTCTCTTTCTCTCTCTCTGACTCTCTCCCTTCTCTCTTTCTTGTTTGACACATACAGTGATTACAGGGTCTGTCATTCACATTTGAATAACTGTGTGTGTATTCCCACATTTGGAACATCTTACCACATTGCTGGCATTCTGCTTAGAACTGTGATTAAAGACTTTGTAAACAGACACAAGCACAAACTTACACACACACACACACACACAAATCCACATACTTAAGCACCAATACTATATACATTATAACACACACTCATTTACAATAATATGTGCAGTTTTTGACAAACGTGTTTTACATCGGCAATGTTGACAAAAATTTTTGACAAAAGTTTTGTGAAGTAGAACAGCTTGACTAGCATAATCATGATAGGCAAAACGAATTGGCCAAAACAATTTATAGGTCAATAATATGCAAAAAAGGTTTTTAAAAGTTTTTTTTTTTCTGTTTTTTTAAGATGATCACTACTAGCTAGGTCAAGGTTTTGACAGATTTTAATATATTCGATTAGCAGTACTAATACAGTATATTACTGGAACAGACTGGTTAAGGACATTTAAAATGTTGACAGTTGTAACTATGATAGGTAAACAAAAGCAAAACCCAGTTTGAAAGTGCACAAAACACCTTATACCAGTAAATAAGATGAGAAAAAAAATGCCATACAGTTAACTGACCTCAGTGCTGGTTTATTAGTGGCACAAGCCAGCTCAGCTTGGTAAAACAGTTTGACTGGTTCTCATTGGTTGAATATTTTTGTGGACAATGAGGGGCCTTGGAGCCATTAATGTTGAGAACCACTGGACTAGTTTTCAACCATAATGGGTGAAAAGCCAAACCAGTAAGAAAGTGCCCAAAACATACCAACCACTGAATAATTGCAGATTTGTAGGATGAATAAATATTACATGCTTGGTCAAAAATCTTTTAACAAAAATGTAAATGTAAATGTGAATGTGAATTGTAAATGTAAGTGTGGAAAAAACAAAAACAATAGTTCCACCTTAAAAATCCATCTACATCCCACAGAGGGTCCAAATTGAGGTGTTTAATAGAGGCAGAATTTAATTGACATTGGCTAATTAGCAGCTAATGCGTTACAACATGCATGGCTTGAACACACATACGCAGGACAGGTTAATTCATTCATTCATCAGTTTTTCTCTAAAAGTAATTATACTGAGCTCTAAATTATGACTGTGCTATCCCATCCCCATTACTAACAAAAGCTCCTAGATAACGCACTTCTACTCATTCACTCCCCTTCTCAGAGTCTATACATCATAAAAGAGAGCTTTAAATTCTTAATTTGGCTGGCATGGAATACACATTGTTAAAATAGGAAGAGTTACTAAGGGCTGATCACAGGCGATTTGAAGTAGGGGGATGTCAATGTCTCCATTTGAAAACAATGGCCCTAATTGTTTTATTTCAGTCTATTAATCTTAAACAGTCCCACAAAAAGGTTTCTCCAGTGATGAATAGTGGGACATTCCAATTCCCACTTAATAGCAATTAATTTTCTGATAGCCATGGAAGTTTGACTAGTTTTAATTAGTCTGTGAGGAACAGGGAAGCCGGTGACAGGCTGACTAAATGCATTCTCATCAAAGACTAACAGGCCAGTCCACCTGACCTCTCTTCGAATCACTGTGCCTTTAATTTCCTATTTACACTTCAAAATAACTCATTTGCATATATCCTGTGCACACTTACCCTCATTTCTGAAAACAATAAGACAATTTAACCAGTTTAATTAATTGGAGATGTTTTAAAGGAAAGATTTGCAACTGGTTCCTTATAGTCAGTCTCTCTCTCTCTCTCTCTCTCTCTCTATATATATATATATATATATATA